GTGCTCCAGATGTATACAAACTTGCACTCTATTCTCCAGACGAGACCTAAACAGTTTACATTTTCCCGAATTTAATTTCTATTTCAATTTTCGCATTGGCAATTAAAATATTTGATTTTTCACGATTTCACGAGCCTTTGAAAATGAACTCGCGTAACTCGCGCAGAGTCGAAAAAGCGTTTCTACTTTACCAAAGGTATCGGTAACTCAAACGAAATATCGGCATTTCAATGGGAAATTGATTTTGCAATTAGAGTTGAAGCCGGTTAAACCCAACTGTTACGGCGTAACAACAGAGAAATTCCTCGGGAGAAGAGGTCAAACTTCAAAGAGACAGAAAGTAAAATCATGAATTCTATAGCCTTATATTCCGTACGGTTCCGTGAAATTCAAACAAAAGAGTACATTCGTCGGATATCCGTTTACTACCTAATTGGCGGTACGAAGTGTGCGCCGGCTATAAATTAAATTCTCGATTAAAGATCGAATATAATTAAATTCACCCATATTTAAACTTGACCGTAATTACAATTTTTATTAAAAATCTATTATAATTTAAATTTCAATGAAAAATCTACTATTCTTTAAATTTCTATTTAGAGATCTATTGATGGTTTATCAGAGCACACTTCTTGATTTATACAACGTTCATCCGCGATTGATTGCTCGTGCGAAGTCCCATATCCGGAAGTGCCTTTCGCGTAATCTCGAATGAAAAATTGCCGGCCGTTCGACAGCGTTTCGAAAGGTTTGATTAGCTCCGTCGAAGCTGAACGGCAAAAACTGTGCAAATAAGCCTGCTTTAAAATCTCTAAAAACAACGTTTGTCGAAACGTTCGGTTCCCGTGGGAATAAACGTAGGAAAGCTTAGAGCTTTTGTTTATCCCATAAGCTTTGTCCGGGCTCGGCAAACGCTGCGCGACGTTTATCGGAAATTCATCGGTTTGATCAAACCGATGAGAAAGGTGGGGGGAACAAAAACGAAGGAAACACGGTTCGCACGGAGTCTGACACGTTTGCGCCTGCAGGAATTGTAACGGTGTCACTAGACGCCCCCGCAGTTTCCGGGGATGCGCGTCGTTGATATTTTATTGCATTAATTCTGCGCCGTGTCCATGCATCATAACGTCCCGGTATCTCCGCGTATCGCGCACCCTATATCAACCTACAATTTTGTCGCATAAATTTTATGCCAAATTTACGAGACACTGTTCACGGTGAAGAGAACCAAATCTCCCGGCTCGCCCCGTTCGAACACTCCACTTTATTGGCGAAACTTTGCGCAATCATTTATTTATGGTATTTACGGTCCCGCAGTTGTTGAAACTCCCGCGAAAGGATTTATCGGGGACCGTTCTCATAATGATCTACTCAACTGAATCCAAGATATTATCTCATGAATGCGGTATCAATGCTGTATAAAGCGTTCACTAAATTATTTCTATTCTCTGACAGATTCATGGTACGATTCCGCAATCTCAATCACAGTGCTTGGAAGAATAATAATTGAATTCTCGAGGAATTATAATCGCAAAGCAATTCAATTACATCAGAATTCAATCGCGTCAGAATTCCATCGCATTGTGATTCGTGATTCAGATCTCCGTTCAATTAAATCACAATGTAATTCGCGATTCAAATCTACGTTCAATTAAATCTCAATGTAATTCGTAAGTCAGATCTTGGTTCAATTAAATCACAATGCAATTTGCAATTCAGATCTCCGTTCAATTAAATCACAATATAATTCGTCATTCAGATTTCCATTCAATTAAATCACAATGTAATTCGCAATTCAGATCTTCGTTCAATTAAATCACAATGCAATTTGCAATTCAGATCTCCGTTCAATTAAATCACAATATAATTCGTCATTCAGATTTCCATTCAATTAAATCACAATGTAATTCGCAATTCAGATCTTCGTTCAATTAAATCACAATGCAATTTGCAATTCAGATCTCGGTTCAATTAAATCACAATGCAATTTGCAATTCAGATCTCGGTTCAATTAAATCACAATGCAATTTGCAATTCAGATCTCCGTTCAATTAAATCACAATGTAATTCGTAATTCAGATCTCCGTTCAATTAAATCACAATGTAATTCGCAATTCACACAGATCTCCGTTCAATTAAATCACAATGTAATTCGCGATTCAAATCTACGTTCAATTAAATCTCAATGTAATTCGTAAGTCAGATCTTGGTTCAATTAAATCACAATGCAATTTGCAATTCAGATCTCCGTTCAATTAAATCACAATGCAATTTGCAATTCAGATCTCGGTTCAATTAAATCACAATGCAATTTGCAATTCAGATCTCGGTTCAATTAAATCACAATGCAATTTGCAATTCAGATCTCGGTTCAATTAAATCACAATGCAATTTGCAATTCAGATCTCGGTTCAATTAAATCACAATGCAATTTGCAATTCAGATCTCGGTTCAATTAAATCACAATGCAATTTGCAATTCAGATCTCGGTTCAATTAAATCACAATGCAATTTGCAATTCAGATCTCGGTTCAATTAAATCACAATGCAATTTGCAATTCAGATCTCGGTTCAATTAAATCACAATGCAATTTGCAATTCAGATCTCGGTTCAATTAAATCACAATGCAATTTGCAATTCAGATCTCGGTTCAATTAAATCACAATGCAATTTGCAATTCAGATCTCGGTTCAATTAAATCACAATGCAATTTGCAATTCAGATCTCGGTTCAATTAAATCACAATGCAATTTGCAATTCAGATCTCGGTTCAATTAAATCACAATGCAATTTGCAATTCAGATCTCGGTTCAATTAAATCACAATGCAATTTGCAATTCAGATCTCGGTTCAATTAAATCACAATGCAATTTGCAATTCAGATCTCGGTTCAATTAAATCACAATGCAATTTGCAATTCAGATCTCGGTTCAATTAAATCACAATGCAATTCGCAATTCAGATCTTCGTTCAGATCAAATCACAATGTAATTCGCAATTCAGATCCCCGTTCAATTATATTACAATGAAATTCGTAATTGGGATTTGCCATTTCATGTGATTTCACGTGACGTGACATCAGTACATTTCTTCCTTAATTGTTAAACCACGACATGGCTTAAATTTTCATTCCATTAACAACAGATATGGTTCCCGATAGATAACGAATACAGAAAAAGATGACAATCTTTCTGGTTAAGCTTCGCTCGGAGCACGATCGTTTGCAACTTTGGCACTCGGAACAACAGGCGTGACATTAGGGCGAAACGAGGCTAATTATCTGGATTGCGGAGCGAATTAGTTAGGGGGTATTGAATTAAATCAGAGGACCGTCAGTGGTGACGTTATTTTACGGTGTTCGGGCCGCATCCACGATCACGTGCTCGGCTCATTGCTCCTGGCAATAGCAGCTGATGGAGCGTGACGATCGCGCGTACGGTTTGTTCGGTTCAGTTTAATACAAGTGCGGATCAGGCTTGTAACGCTAGACGGCCGCGTTCTGTTACACCGGGGCCAACGCTAACGCTCGTTCGGCTCCATTTTGATTTATGACCGTGGCGGCGCGGATTTGATTGTCGCCGCGGTTTCAACGCGAGAACGAAACTTCGCTCGTCCGAGATTATTGGAAAAGTTAATGAAAATGTGCGATTTGATTTGTTCAGCCGCTAATCGATACTTTAAAGCGCTGATTCGTTTCCATATTGTTTGCCGAATGTACAATTTCATTTCCGGAGCCCTCCGGTGTGTCCGAAGTTATTTCACTTCCAGATATATTCGATTTACAATTTCATACGCGCGATACGTGTTTTCTTCAAAATGTAGTCGTCCGGTTATTTGCACGCGTTACAAACTTGTTCATAAACTCACTCCACCTCTGTTCAGTTTCAAATTATCATTATTAATACCAGAACCACCGAACCAATCGGAATGACTGGTTTCCGATTGTTTCTTCTGCAATTCCTGTTATCGCAAGGATGTTCCTGCGAGATATTTTTAAACAAACTTCATTCGCCGTGCATACAAAATTTAAATAAATCTAATCTTGGCATTTTTAGAAAGTAATACACCATTCGTCGCGTTTTTCTAACGTTGGACATTATATAAACTGTTCAAAATTTTAAAATAAAAACTGCATAAAATATTGCAGCAAGAAGACAAGAAAAAAGAAAATTGCTTTATATAATTATTCACGTATTTCAGAAAAAGTCGTACAAAGTTTAAATAAAACCAATCTTGGAATTTTTAGAAAGTATTGTACCATTCGTCGCGTTATTCTAAAGTTGGACATTATATAAACTGTTTAAAATTTGAAATTAGAAACTGTATAAATTATTACAATATACAGAGAAGAAAAACGAAAACTGCTGTACGTAATTATTCACATATTTCAGAAAAAGTTGTACAAAGTTTAAATAAAACCAATCTTGGCATTTTTAGAAAGTATTGTACCATTCTTCGCGTTTTTCTAACGTTGGACATTATATAAACTGTCCAAAATTTGAAAATAAAACTTGTATAAATTATTACAATATATAGACAAAAAAACGAAAACTGCTGTATATAATTATTCACGTATTTCATAAAAAGTCGTACAAAGTTCAAATAAAACCAATCTTGACATTTTCAGAAAGTAATATATACCATTCGTCGCGTTTTTCTAGCGTTGGACATTATATAAACTGTTTAAAATTTAAAAACGGAAACTGTATAAAATATTACAATATACAAACAAGAAAAACGAAAACTGCTATACATAATTATTCACGTATTTCAGAAAAAGTCTTACAAAATAAAAAAAAAAACGAAACGTTACCGCAACGAGTCATTTTCAGCAGCCTCGGTACTGTTAAATGACCGATATCGTGGTAATGTTAGAATTCACGTTATTCCGGAAGGAGCGCGTTCAACAAATAAAGTCGGCGGTGGAAAAGGGATCACGTGTCCTTCGGAAGGATAGGGACCGGGAACGGGGTTGACGGCGGTATCAGTGTGCCACGGCGCAACCGGACAGGCGTTCCGCCGATGGTGGTGGCTGGATAGAGGCGCCTAACGGCAGCTGAGTCTCATGATCCGTTCATTCGGGTTCGCGCGGCTACCGCCGTCTCTGCTCGGCTCCGCGTTTCGAGGAAGCACCCGGCGAGTTTACCGAAACGCTCGTGGCATTGCGCTTGCACTCGTCCGCGCGAGCTTTCGTCGTTTTCGCGCGTGCAGCCGCTTCGTATCGCGCTCTCTCGCCCCAACCGCGATCCTAATTTATCTTTTCTCTCTCCCCCCCCCTCTCTCTCTTCCTCTCTCTCCCCCATCGTGTTTCTTGCGCCGCGTTTCCGCTCGGTTCTCCGTCGCGGCGCGTCTCTCGCGATGACGTTCCCCGGGTGACGAGAGAAGACGAGCCAGCTCTCTCCCGATGATCGTCGAGTGTCGATCCCGAAAAGATTCCCGGCGGCTCTAACGAGTCGAGACACGCAGTGTTCGGAAAGTAAAAAAAAGAAAACGAGATAAAAGAAAAAAGGTGTCTGAAGTGTTCGCGGTTGTTGCAGCTGTTCGCGCGAGCGAGCTTCGCCGCGCCGCGCGTCGATCCTCGATCGAGGAGGATCCTCGGGAGGATCCCTCGGGTGGATCGCGGCTCTTTTCCGGAGGACGGGCACGTCCCGGACTGATCTCGTTACGCAGAAACAGTTGTGTTGTGCGAACCCAGGAATACGTGGTGCGACGCGGCAGTCAACAAGTTATCCGGCTCGTTTTGGTACAGTTTTGTCAGTGATCCCCCGTCCGTTTCCCTCCGGCGATTCGTGACGTGCCACGAATTCCCTGTGTTCTCCAGCGAGCCGTGGGTCGCGAGTGCGAGCTCCGTGGCACGGGCGCCGGGGATCGTCTTCGAGGATCGCGGTTCTCCCCCGTGTGGAAAAACGATCTCCCCTATTTCCCGCCGGCAGATAATTTTCGGTAAACAGGTGGCGGTGCCCTCTGATTGCTCTGCCGGTCGGCTGGAGGGGACCTTTGATCCTCTCCGGATTGAAAATCGTTCCGACCGGTGCGGCAGGGTGCTCGCGCCCGGTTTACGCGCGGAATCAATCCCGCGGCTTTGACAGGGGTTCGGCCGATCTCGCGCAAGCACTAGCAGGCTGCTAGCCAGCGAATCGCGCGGCTGTCCCGTGCGGGAAATCAGCGGATGGAAAGAGACGAGACCGGATAGCTCGCTCGCGGATCGTCGACGTAGGAGCGCAGCGTTCGGAGCGCGTTCCGTGTCGCAGAGGCGTGGACCAGCTTTCGGGACAGAATTAAATGGTTCTTAGGCGAACTTCGGCGAGGAACGTGTGCGCTTGGATGACGCCGATGCGACGATTTCCAGCGGGAAAGATGATCGATTCGCGCACGACGATGATGTTCAGCTCGCCGGGCCCGACGATCTCCACCGAGGACCGCAACTGCGTGAAACCGAGCGAGGATCCACGGTCCCTTTTCACGATCGCAAATTGAGGCGGGTCTTGAGCCACTCCACCGTGAAATCGGTTAATGTCGCTGCGGCGGAGGGATCCGGGCTGCCACGGTTATCGGTTCGAGCGGTGTTTGCGACGTAATAGACGCCGACAGATCGCAGCTAGCCGCACACGGCGCCGACCAGGTTACCTTTTTTCTACGGGCGGTGGCCGATTGGCAGCGGGACATTCGCTGGAAGAGGGTATGAGGGGCCATCCAGACAGCACGTAGGGACTGGCCCTTCCTCGTTTTCGGAGATGTGCTGCTATATACGGTACAGCGTCCTCGGGCTCACCGTCCTCCTCTTCCTGGCGATTCATGGGATTGTCTTCGTGCGAGCTGGCGAACAAGGTAATGGTCCGGTTCATCCGTCCTGGCTTAGCCTGGCGAGCTGCGCTCGTGAATTTTCGGCTCGCCGGAATCTAGCTTTTTTCTAGCCTCGGGATCGTGCAACGTGGTACACGACGCGCCACGAAAGCGCCGAGCTTGTCGCGGTTTACTGATCTATGGATCGGTTCTTACCGCGTTACTTGTTACCGGCGATTGTTCCACGCTTTTTTGGGGGATCTGCTACTTGGGTGTTTTGCTGACGGAACAGCAGCAATTGGCGGAACAGGTTGACGCAAGAAAATTATAATTTTTCGAAGTTGACCGGATGAAAGAATAGTTTGAAATTCGTTCCGAAGATTTCGGTCGTAATCGAGTACGTGCAAAAATATCGAGAGGACAAGTGCTGTGAATTATACAGTTGGTATTAATTAACTTAGTTCTTAATTAGCTTAACTTTAAATTGATTTAACTTGAAATTAACTTAAGCCTGAATTAACTTAACCCTAAATTAACTTAACCCTGAATTAACTTAACCCTGAATTAACTTAACTCTGAATTAACTTAACTCTGAATTAACTCAACTCTGAATTAACTTAATTCTAAATTATCTTAAGAATAAGTTTGATCAATAAACAATACACATGTTAGTATTGTATTTTTTTCTCACGAAGAGGAAAATGTCATTTATTCCACTTTGACCTCCTCAAACGTTACTCGCGTCTTTTAAACCGAAATAAAGTTCAACCCTTCTGTTATCAATATTTCAACGTTAAAGCAAAGATTCGCGTTCAATAAATATACATCACTTGTTCCACGTACGAATTAATTACCGACAAACAAGTGCTAATCGCAGTAGCTGTGAAAGAAATCGTAATCCAAGAGGTTAATAATTATATAAATCATGTGTCAAACTTGTCCACGGACTTCTATGCAAAACAAAATTTGTCTGCTTCAGTTCTGCAGAACAAGAGTTAAAAAAGGATGTAATTCTTATTGTAATAGTTTCGATAGATTGAGAATAGCGTAACGATTGTTCTGTATTTCATCTACCAGATTTTGCAATAAACGCATCAAATCCGCGGTCTAATTGTAACAAGTATTTACGATGACACGGAATTCAATTCTATTTTCGAGAATTCGACGGTTCCGTAATTAATGAATCCCTTCTTTCTGACATACGCTGCCGACAGCCAATTTGTCGCAGAAAGCCTCGTTCGTCATTGTTTGAATTATCCGGAGAATGCGACTCCTGTGTGACATCGCCGTCATCACGTCATCGTTACCGATGAAATCATCCAGATGACAATTATCCCATTAATAATAATGACAATTACAAGCAAACTGAATGAAATTTTTATTAAAACGATTCGCAATTAATTACCGTTGTGCTGTCAACGTCGCTGAAATGTCAAAATTACGTTGTCGCGCGCGAAAATGTACGAACCGATAGACCGCGGAGATTAATATCACACGGGGACAAACGTGAGCCGACCGTTGTTTCGCGTTGGTCGCCGACGCTCGCGATGTTTTCCCATTCGCTTCTGTCCCGAATAAAATCGGGAGCGCAAACTTCGAGAGCGGAAACAATTGGGAACCGGACAGGGAAGATTTAGTCGAGCGAAAACCGGCCAGATCGTAAATACTTATTTTACTCCATTGGTCAATAATTGTACGCTCGCGACCCTCCTCGCGCGTGCAGCCTTTCTTTTTTGTTTCGCTAAATGAGCTGCTGCGCTCGTGCGCTCGTGCGCGCGCTTTCAATTACGCCTCATCAAATCATACTGTTGGGAATATTTTCGCTCCGCTGGCCGTTTTGCGACGAGCGCGCGGTATTTTCATCGCGGCAGTCTGTGAAGGATATTATGAACAAAGTAGCGTGCAATGGCCGTCAAAGGAAAGTGTGGAATTAATCACTTAAGGCCTTTGCGGAATACGCTAGTGACGACACGTGTGACAACGAGCGAGACTATGATATCGCGTATCTCTCGTTTGTTCCGGAAGCCTGTCCGCTGATCAAATTTCCGATAATCGAGTGGCCACGAAATTTTAAGAATCTGTAATAATAGTATTTTACGAATTTATTAAAATATAATATTTCAATGCAAACACGAATTACCACGTTAATCCCGTACGCAACGTTCCGACACGCCCGTAACAATTTCAATCGCCTCCGCACTTTTCATTCTCATCATTTTTCATCATTTAATACACCGGACTCTCGACTCTCTCGGATCGTTCGATTATAAAATTACTGAATTCATTTATTTTGCATGAACGGGTCGGTCGGACGACCTTTTAATTTCTCTACAAAAATGTAACGTAATAATAATAATAATAATAATGATAACAATAACAATAATAATAGTAATGATAATAAAACGATATAAAAGCAAACTAAATATCGTAGCTATATCGATGATCGATTCGGAGGTTTGCGAAAAAAGCGTTACGATACCGCGAAATCACGAAGAGGAAGGAGGATCGATGTCCGAGTTAATGGGTTTTAAATAAACTCTATAGGAAAACGATCAGGATCACAGTCGAATCACGGGCAATGGATCAGAGTTGGTCTGAGAATAAAAGCAATTCCCGAGGTGCTCTAAAACGATCGTTTAATTCTTTTTAACGCCATCCAGAGCCAATTAACAGAATCGCAGCCAAGTGTAGCTAGCCGGACAGTTTGCTCAAACTTGTTGGCCAGTTACCGGATCGTTTCTGCGTTTGCAGAACACGAGATTGTTGAACTATTCCGCGCAAACGAATGTTGAATAAACCTTAACGATGTTCACCGTTTTACACGAGCAAACAGATCTTTGATGAGAGTAAGATGTTCATCTATGAAAACGAATACGTATTTTATAAATTCATTTACATCAGTTATTAATAGACAGTTGATCTTCATTGGAATTTTAATTTTTATACACGAACTTAAAAAAATTAAGGTGAACGAAAAGTTTCTTAAACGAAAGATTACTCGTTGTAAAAATAGAACAAAATAGAGCTGTTAGGCTTTGTTAATTTATTTACGCGTCTCCTTGCATTTGGAAAACCTGGCAGTGCCATAAATGCATAAATATCCATACTATAGTTATTAGATCGAATGAAGTGTTTGACGTTATGTATATGCAACGAAGTAATGAAGTTTTGCAGTAATCGATCAGATTGCTTTCCGATCGATATTTTCCGCGGGGCGAAAAACATTGCGTTCGTTGGCTTCATTATTTTATGCATCCGAAAGGGAATAACGATGCAATCCATTTCACCGTGAAATCAATTCACGAAGATCGTTAAATATTTTCCTGGGAAACAATCTTTTTCTGATTCGATTGCGTGGCGGAAAACGGGGCGCATCGACGGCCGGCGAAATTTTATCGCGGATTCGTTCAAGTTTTCCCTTCGGCGCGCGGATTATTCGAATCGCTTTTGCGTTTTTGCTGATTAAATGTTACAGATTAAAGGTAACGACACGTTCCGCCGTTAAAGGGAACATGCTCTACGCTCGAATGTTTTGACAGCGTTGCGTATCAACATGGCCATTCAACTTCGACCATTCGCAAACGCGCGTCGTTTGCATATAATGGCAACAACGAAAAAGATTGCTCTCTCCTATTTAACACGTTCCGTGCCGAGCTTTTTTTACTCGAATCTTCACACTTTGATATTTTACTAAAACTTGATGTATTACGTGCAATTATTAATTCTCGTACACATAACAACGTAACAAAAACTTATCAACGCCCATTCTTGCGGTGGAAATTGATTCTTCGGTTCTAAATTTCTTGTAAACAATTTGTTCAGTTCACTAAGTAAACATGCAAGCGTGTACC